TGTTTCCATTCCGCACATTCAAGTTTTATTTTAATTTAAAAGGTTTTAAATTGTAAATTAAATTTCCCGAAAAAAAAGAGAGTCACACAGTCATTTCCATATTTTCATTATAAACAATTAACGAGTCATATAATTTCATATTTTTTTTTATCACTCTCGATCTTAATATTTTCTCGTCGAACAATGCGACGACACAAAGCCATATAATGTGGAAAGTATAAATTGTCCATGGATATGCATATGTGCGGTAAGTAGGAACGTGTTTACACAATGATAGGAAGTTTCGAAGGAGAGAGAGGAAGAAGAAAGAGATATTTTAACGATCTGTGGGTTCAATGCAATATTTATTACATGAGTCGTGTTCTTCTTTCTCACTTCTTCTCCTTTTAGTTCTTCTTGTTCCTTCAAGTTCAGTAAAAATAACATAAAAAGTGAGCAGAACAAAAATATATTTATATATTGGAGAAAGAATGTTATTTAAAATTTATGATGGTTCATGTTTGTATTTTGGATTGAATGAAGAGAAATGAGAAATGAGTTGGAAATGGAGCTCTGTTGTGGTTTTGTGCTAGCGCATCTTATAGAAATGGTTGGGGTATCATGTGATGAGCAATTTTGAGGAATCTAGTGAATTATGGATGGACCTGGCTTTAATGAACTCGCTCTATTTATACAGTAATCTTGGTGCAGCTTTAACAGAGGAAGGCATGAGTTTGAAGAGGCATGGACATAGCCTGAATGATTCCTTCGACAGCCGATTATCAATTGCAACCACATGGATCGACACATACAGTTCTTGAACTAATCAACCCCATGAAAAATCGAACATGCCATCAATTGCACCCTCCCAAAAAATCCAGCAATCACCATAATATTTAAATATATTGCATTTATAACCGCAACAGAGAAAAGCAAAAAAATTAAAATAACATCAAAAAGAAGCTCCGCAAAATGAATGAATGTTGGTTGAAATCATTTTTGACGCAAAGCTGCCAACTCTTTTACTGCAATTTTTTTTCCTTCTCAAAATTAACAAAGCTGATATACATTTAAATATTTTTTTATGCAATTTGCAAAGGCCCATTTTTGCACGAGAACGAGTGACTGAAAAAAAAAGTTCTCTCAAAATGAGACTGACAACTTCATCAAGGTTCTCCATATACAGAAAATTAAATGTTTGTTATACATTTCTTATTTATTATACATTTATTTTCGGGTAACAAGCAAATGATGGAGCTTCTTTAACGCATGCAATGAAGTGCAATGGTCGCGATACGGTGGACGACGATGATGATGATCATCATCAAGAATAATATTAGCATTTTCATGAGTTTGGCAGGATGCAGTTAATTGAATTAAAATATACTTAACGACTTCTCAAGAATATTGCCTTTTTTTTTGCTTGTCGTCTTTTTAATCTAAACTTACATCATAATCAATGATGGGGTAAAGGAGTAACTGATGATGACATTATTTGACTAATGAAAATTTAATTTACTCTCTTTTGTGCATTTGGGATCAATAACAATATATTCACATGAGATTATGTAAAGCAACTATTAATTAATGATAATTATGGCTTTGACTAGCTATCAGCATAAATATTTGATTATGCTTGTGTGAAAAAAAAAATTTAGGGGTTAGATTCGTCAAGTTTGATGGAGATTTAATCTTAAACTGTGATCAAAAAAATAAATAAACTTTAGCATTCAGACCTTAAGATCCATAGGTGTGCGTTATCTGCGGTAACACGACTCGGGAGGATGTGCTAATACACTCAAACCTAGACCTATAGCTTTATAGTGGGATCCAAACCACTCCTTTGATGGCATTCCTGTTTGTAGCCTCCGGAAGGATGTGAGCTTCATTTCCAGTACATATGATTCGAAAAAGGACAAGTGAAAAATTTCTCATGTCGAGTCTCGAACCCATGATCGCTGTGTCGGTATTGCAATAATTAGGTCATGAAGTAAAAAACTATTCCGCCACAGAGCCTCTTCAGCTCACTAAACTGTGATCAACAATCTCAAAATGAGGCTTTAAAATTCAAAATAAGCCATATTTAAATTCTTAAAATCTCAAATTCTCAAATAATGAAATTTATACAACCACATCGTGTACACTCATTACTGACTTCAAACAAAGAATTCTTATGTGAAATTACTTCTCAAAAAAATACACTTTTTCAGAAGCTTTTTAATTAAACACGTTTATTATTTAAATTACTCGCTAATTAAGCGCTAATTGATGCCAAAGATAGCATCACGAGTTGTAAAATTTCAATAAGTATCAGCTTAATATAATCGTACGTTGTAAAGTGAGAGATTTGTTGAAACTTTTATGCTACTTATTCGCTAGTGTTTAAAGCAAACAAAATAAAGTTTCGTGATTTTATGATGACAATTATAGTCCATTTATTACATGTTGGGCATGTCTAGTGTGAGGTGTTCATGGCTGTGTCTATGAAATGATAATTGCTGGAACTGTGGAGCGATATTGGATGTTTATGGAGATTGGAGCTGGATAATGACTATGGATTTGCATTTAACCTTGCATGAAGGATCAGGTAAGCAGGAATAAAATTTAAACTGTTATTTTTACTTGATCTTATGATCCAGGTTAAGGTTTTTTAAATCAAATCTCGACTCCTATGTCTAAGTCTAGTTTTTCAGATACCTAAGGACCTAACACCCATTGCTATGAAGCCATATCAGCTCACGATTCTTAAACATTCTAGAAAATTGAAGTCAAACATTTCAACATTCACAACTTTAATGAGAAAATGTCTTTAAAATGATTCCCATACCCTCCAACTTTCTCATTTCAACGACATCGATCCACATTTCCATTTATCGCATTTCTCAGCATCCAAAATAACAGCAAATAAAAAAATTCTATTTCTTAAAAATTGAAACAATCAATTGTACAAATCGTATTTCAATTGACAACTTTAATTCGAGCAACGAAAGAAGTTTCTTTTTCGCTCTTGACTTTCAATCAAATTCCGTCTGAAATTGGAAGTTTTCATTTCAACTCTCAATTAAATTCCATCAATTGAGTATAATTTTCAAATCAATCGAATTGCTTCTGACTTCTGTTTTTTCTTGTTCTTCTTTTTGAGCTTCACTGAAATGTGAATTTTTTTTCGTAAAGTTATTAACTTTGTTCCTTCTTATTATTCAGTCTCACATGAAAATTACCGTCAATCAAGCGACTTTTTATTATTATTGTTGTCTCGCTTACAATTGCTTCTCTTTTTCTTTGTTGATTGTAGTTCCATAACATAAATGAACCACTTGCAATTATCTGACAAACGACTTACATTCATTCCCATCCACTGTGGAAATGAATTTGAGACTTCCTCCAATCTACTTCAGTCATCATTACGTACGTACTTTTTTTTCGTGAATGATTTTTAAAATTGTAAAGGAATTTCTATTTCATGTATTTTATGCCTTTTGTGTAATGAAATATCTATCACTTTAATGTACTGCGCCATATCAATTTCTCAATGACTTAACAATGGAGAGCATGTCTTTAAATATCTCATTTGACGATAGACATAATTAAATTGAAATGGGAATAGGAATGAGGAAGAAGAAGATTTAGAATTACTTTAATGTTCTCTGTTGCTGAAATTAGATAGTCTTAGCGAATGTGAGAATGTCAAGAATGTACATAGATAATAATAAACATTCTTAACGGTGATTTTCTATTAAGTTATAAGCGAAATTAATGTTCTTGGTTTGATTAAGTGAATTAAGTCTAAGCATGAGCTATTTCGGACAAATTAGAAGGGCGATAGAGGTTAGGATAGCTTTAACACATTTGATCAAAAATTCTTTCAATGATTCCATGGACAGATCACTTTTATCGTCTCTCTAACTTAATAAGACCAACCTTATTGAAGCGCGAGTGGCTAGGCAACATACCGGGCATCTGTACTAGTCCCAAGATGCTAATGGACATGTAAAAGCTATTCAAATACTACATCCTAGAGAAACAATCTTAAACCAGCATAGCTTAAATATATACATATTCCATTGCTTAATTAAACATTCCACTTCTGAATAGCTTTCATTAAATCTCTTAACAATTCGAACATCAAATCCAACTACATTCTATGCACTGAATAATTAAAATCTTCATCAATACCGAAGACTTCCCATCAACCGAACAAAATAAAATCAATTCAAATCCGTTCCATTTTCTCCAATAAACAAAACCCACAGCATTAGAGTCTACCTCTTGACCCCATACCATGTACATTTTTTATGGACCGTATGTACTTATTTGATGATTATTGAAATCGAGAAATGGAAAATGTTCTCTCAATGAAGGTAAAAAATCGTGAGTTCAAATTAATTATCCCATGGCACAAATGAAGAAATTTCTTCTTTCATTATTGAATTCTTTAACTATTTCTATATTGTATTGTAAGAGCAGAGCATGATGCCGAAATGATATTATTTAGAAATAAAAATAGCATTCCTTAAAGATATAGAAAATAATAAAGATCAATTGATTCAAATGATAATAAGATACTGGGGTGTAGATAGGAGCTGGTTTCTAGGGCTAGTTGAGGCATCTATTGATGATTCTAGAGTAGGTTGTAATTTAAAGCTCTTAACAACATCACAAAATATTGAAAAAAAAAGTTCACCCAATGGTTCATCCAAAGCGGGAATCGAACCTTGCACCTCTTGATTGCCGGTCAAGTGCTCAGACCACCAAGCTATTGATTTTTGCTATTGAAACTGGCAATTTGTCAATATATGTGAACCACTCTTTTTCAACTTTCTGTTCTAGAGCTTATAACCTTAGTGTCTCATTTATTTGTCCATTAAAAGCAGCCAGAATTTTTAAAGGGATAGGTAAAATTTGAAACTTAGTAAATTTAATAACTTTTTTAATTCAGAAGATAAGAGGCCCTAGCTACGCCCCTGAAAAAAATCACTTAATGATGTTTGAATATTTTCTTCCATCTCCATCTGCCTGTTTAGACATCGAAAAAGAAAACGAGTTCAGTATTGATTGATGAAACATGGAAAAGGAAATGAATCAGATTAGACGATATCGATTGAAAAGAGATTATGCGGATTTAATGTGGCCTGTATGTGCCATTGAAGAGATCAAGACAAATGATGATGGCATAATGAAATCGTTGAGTATCGAGATTAATGTCATGTGATCCGTTAGGACTTTCAAATCATCATTTGATTGACTTGAACATCAATTCATGTAGAGGCGTGGGATTATGAACTTTTTTTTTGATGGATATTTTGTTATTCTCTCACACCGCACGTCTTTCCATTAAAAATTCATTTAAGCACTTTAAATTCATTAAATCAAATTAGGAATCTCTTCCCCAAAATTATTGCCATATTTCATAAATGAGATTCCATTTAGGCATGTAATGAATTAAATATCATTTAGGTTGATTAATACGAAAACTACTAAATTCTGGTTTCTTTCTTTATTTCTTATGTTTAGTCACAAAAAGTTACAGAACTCGACCACCAACCTTTTGTAAATTGTAAGACGATGAAAATTAAAATAACATAGAAACAATGTAAGATTGCTGCTTGTTCTACTTATTGTCGTGTCGCTTTTGGACTGTACATTGTTGCTAGCTTGTGTCAGCATTATCCAAACATGTCGCTCAATTTTTCATCCCAATCTAGCTTATATTATTAAATGTAATTATTCCACATAAGGTTCTACATAATTTTTGGTTTTGATTATCTCGAGAATCATTCTGTGTCGTTATTATTATTATTTTAATTTAGGTCATGATGCTTGATTGGAATCATAATTATAATGTTCAATTTTTGACCTAATTCATGAATATTTGATCATGTTGGGCTATAATTTGTCATGGTAGTTCAGATTATTTCACGTGAAATTTGATTTTTCATAGTGGATGTAATAATATGCTGTTAGCGTCGAATTTGGATCATAAATATTGTTATTTTGGTGTTAATGCTCTGCATATTTGTGCATGCATTAATGGGATTTTGAATCAATTCGATTGCATTTGAACTAAAATATTTGAACATTTTGATGGATTTTTAATTCAATTTTGGGAATTTATGACTTAAAAGAGGGTCTACAAATATTAAATTTTAGATTTTATTGATTACTAGGCTCCCTTAAGCTGAATGAAACACAAGAGAATATTAAGAAGACATCGATGAAATAAGTCGGGTATAAAAATACCCAAAATTCAACAGCCATCACAAGCTGATCGACCCAAAACCAAATTTCATAATTTATTTCCATCATTATAACTCAGTTTTGTTCAAAACACAAGAAAAAAAAATCCACAGCAACTGACACATTCACTGCCACACCCTGGATGTAAAATATCACATATTCATTCTTAAATGCGCTAATGTATCTTTCAAATGTGATTTTAATGAGAACATTCAATACAACTTTGTTGTGTGTTATTTTCGTGTTTCATTTAATCAGCACTCTTTCAGCAATTGTCAGCTAAAGCATGTCTCAAACGAAAAAAAACCCACGCGAAAGAGTTCATTTTTGCATTTTGCAGCAACTTTATTTCGCATTTCATTTCGAAAGAACTTTTTTTTAACGTGTGTATGAATTGGCAGTAACAAACAAAAGCCGGTCCGGTTGGTCAATCTAAATAGCCGTGGACAACACGAATGTTCTTTAATTTTACCGTGAACACTTTAAATAAAGCAATTAAAATAATGAAGAGTCTAAAAACATTGTCAACAAGTCTGACAAAAAAAGTTGTCAAAATAGAAAACGACATGCCAGGCAAGCACATCTGTCGACAAATAATGATAAAGTGATCTTTAGAATTCCTTATAATGTCAATTAGCATACAATCGCTAACACGCAAGAGTGGCTCATCCATTCTTCACTTATTCATTGACTTGTGTTGGGGTCGTTTGCTTATTAGGGGGTGTTGGGGAAGGTTTATAGCATAATACATTAAACCATAATTTTATTGTTACAGAATCGCGAGGAAGAAATTTAAAAATTCATTTTCTTGCGTCACGTCATAAATGAAGGTTCCCATCAGTAAAATTACTTCATTGACACAATGCCTGATTGCTTTGCACACTTCTTTTGAATATATGTACATAAATAAATGATGAATGGATGTTTATTAATGGAATATAAAAATATTTGCACCACAAATTGCGATGAGTTGAAATGGTCCATAAAAAGAATAAATAAATTTATTTCTCAACAAGGAAGAAATTGTTTAATTAAGAGAATATATATGCGAATTTGCGCCTTCAGCGCCTTTTCGTTAAAGTATCTGAGCCAATCAATTTTAATGAAACTATTTCATTGCCTTCGTTTTCATCATAATTCAATTTTCTCGCATCATTTATCAACGCAACCACCATTTCTGACATTCCTTAATATATAAAAAATAATAACAAGACAGAGAACCGAATTAAATAAGGAGATAAATAAAATTCCAGTGTGATTTAAAACAAAATTGAGGCACTTTTTATGTTATTCATTAATATTTCTTATTTTTTTTCGTGCTTAGAATTTATTCAATTTTATTCCCTTTGTTCTTAATAATTCCACAAAAAGAGCAATTAGTCACTGTTATGTAGTTTTTTATGCCTTCCCTTTGCCTTTGTTTTTGCTTTTGCCGCATATGCTTCATATCATAAACGAATGTTCCCGAACTGCAATAAATGGTTGATTGAAGTTTGATTGGTGCATATTTAAGGCTCATGTCAATTAAGAATTGGGTTAATTAAGCCTGGTATAGGTAGTGTCTGGAGCTCAGCTTAGCTCAGGAAATTTAGAATTCAGTCTCAATAAGTTGGTCAGTGTCAGTGTCTTGATTTAGGATTAGTATTGTTTCACATCAAATTTCAAGGATACAAATGTATTTTTTAATGAAATAATTCCGGACTCTCTTGAACTTAGCTAAGTTCAGCTTAGCTCAGCTTAACTCAGCTTAGCTCAACTTAGCTCAGAATCCTAGTTAATTCAAGATTTGAATCTAGTTCAGCATCTTATTTTAACTCCGAACCCTAGCATAGTTCAGAATCCTAGCTTGATTAAGTATCCTACCTTAGTTGCATACCCCAGCTAAGTCCTATATTTTAGCTAAGAGATAGATTCATAGCATGTCTATAATAAAGTCAATAAAACCAAAAATTCATGATGCCATATAGAGTTGTGATACTCGGGCTATAAGTTCATGCAAGAACTAGTTGCACCATAAATCATGCTAGAAAGAATAAAATATTTAATATAGGTTAAATGATCTCGCATCTCGTAAATGTTGTAAGTTATTCCTTCTTTTATTATGCATCAACTTCGAAGTTTTATAAGTTTATTTGCGCTGTTCGCGGGTGTATACAGTTGCATATCCATGTCATTAACGATGCGCTCTATAATTTTTAATTTTCAAGTTTTTTTAATTTTTAATTTCGCTCCTTCTCGCTACAAACTTGCAGATATTATTCTTAACTGCCTCATCGTGTTATTGTGTACATATATATTTTTTATGCTTATATTTCGGCATTCTGTTACTGAAGAAACATCACAGCAAAAGGCAGTAAAGTTTTTTTCTTTCTTGTACATATTTATTTCTTTCTGTTCGCTCTCTCACATTCTTCTTCCATCGTGGTTGATTTCTTTTTAATTAAACGCAAATATTATTCCGGTTTTTATGTGTATTTTATATAAACAGAATTTTCTGCAACTTACGACACGGTATATCAAACAGCTGTGACTTTTAATTTGTTTGCATATAAAAAACGAAATGAGAAACTTCTCAAAATTATGGTTATTTTAAAGGAGGGCGGGAGTGATTGTCGAATGATGTGAGAAGTATGAAAGAATTATGAAGAATTGGAAAATTAAAATTGTTGGATCAAGAAAAAGTTTTTCATTAAAAATTGTTTATTTTCTGAATGAATTTACCTGAACTTGATGATTTTAGATTTTTTTCGAAGAAAAGCTTTTCATTTTAATTGAAATTAGTCCTTGAAAATTTTATGAGCTTGAAATTAAGAATCAAAGTCAACAAAAAATTTTAATTGAGTTATAAAGAGTTTCAAATTTTGTTGGAAGTAAACAGATAGCTTTAAGCTTGATTCTAAACATTTGAAATTCTAGATTTTGTTTACTTTAATAAATGTTATTTGATTAATTTTGAAGGATTTTAAAAAAAATAATTTAATGAAATTTAATATTTTTGTTTACAAAATAAGATCAGGGGGGGGGGGGGTGCCTCCCAGTTGTAAAATCTAATTCCAAACCTCATCTGCATCTGATGAGAAAACCTTCAGAACAATGTTTTGAACCATTTTCATTCTAAACTTCAATAAACAATTCACAAAAAATCTAATAAATTGTGGAGCAGTGTTTCCAAACTTTGTGCCGCGGCACACTAGTGTTCCGTTGAATTTTTTTGAAACTGTCCGACTTCGGTCGTGCTTATCACACAGGTGTGCCGTGGCTCAAAAATTTTGGACAACACTGATGTAGAGTGTCGCATCGATGATCTTCAATGTAGAAATGACATTGGTTCCAGTACATTACCGACATTCTTAGAATTGTTTTCATTAAAATTGACAAAAATTCATCAAAACCTAACAAAATTCCACTCACTTAACACATCACATACCTACAGCAAACAAAAATTATAGATCCTATCATCATTAGATCATTTCCTGTAAAAACCTAATAGTTCCATCCAGGGGCGTAGCCAGGATTTGAAGAAAGGGTGACAAAAAAATTTTTTGTATGGAAAAATTTAAGAGGGGGGAAGGGGGGGGGGGGGTATTTTTGTGATTTTTCATAAAAACCCTAGCAAAATGAAAAAAATTTTGTTTACGTTGGGGGATTTGTCCCCCAAATCCCCCCTGGCTACGCGCCTGATTGCATCCAAAACTAAATTGACATAATGATAGAAATATATAAAGTTCCTCTCCCTTCCACTCAACATTGTATCATCAACTTGTGCATGGTGTGTAATTGCATAAGAATATGTTGAAAACATACAAAATGACTTTAAGTAGACAACGATAATGAGGAAGTTAATGAAAACATGACTGAAACAGGAATGGAATTTGGGTGTGAGAGAAATAACAAAAAAAAAATCATTTGGCATTTTGCGACAGTGCTTGTTTTCAAATTAAAAACTTTATCCAGTCACTGATTGACGATAACGATAATTCAATTTAACATTTTGATATATCGTGTGAGGTGCTGCAATTAAACCTTTATTTTTGTTCTGTATACATTTTTATCAATATATCA